TTCCCCCACATTTCATTGCTAAAAATCCATTAACATGTTTGCATGTCATTTTCCATGCATATTGCATTGCGTATGCCATTGCCTCGATTTGTGTGCCCGTGTGCACGCGTTTCGAGGCACTTCTTTTTCATCCATCGGCCTCTTATGTGAGTGCGGCTGAGGCTCTCTCATGTTAGTATAAGTCCATGTTGCATTCTATATGCCATTCTAGCCATATTGCATTGCGTATGCCATTGCCTCGGTTTGCGTGCCCGTGTGCACGCATTTCGAGGCACTTCTTTTCCATCCATCGGCCTCTTATGTGAGTGCGGCTGAGGCTCTCTCATGTTAGTATAAGTCCATGTTGCATTCTATATGCCATTCTAGCCATGTTGCATTGCGTATGCCATTGCCTCGGTTTGCGTGCCTGTGTGCACGCATTTCGAGGCACTTCTTTTTCATCCATCAGCCTCTTATGTGAGTGTGGCTGAGGCTCTCTCATGTTAGTATAAGTCCATGTTGCATTCTATATGCCATTTTCATGCATTTGCATTGCATATACCATTGCCTCGGTTTACGTGCCCGCGTGCACGCATTTCGAGGCACTTCATTTTCATCCATCGGCCTCTTATGTGAGTGTGGCTGAGGCTCTCTCATGTTAATGTAAGCCCATATCATATTTCTCTATCATTTGCATTGCGTATGTCACTTTCTCGATTTGCGTGCCCGTGTGCACGCATCTCGACGCATCTCATTTTCACAGCATAGTGCATACTAGGTTGTATCTTAGATCGCATTCATGCATTTCTTCGGCTTGCGTGCCCGTGTGCACGCATTTCGAGGCATGTCATTCCATAGCATTGTGTATACTAGGATTGTATCTTAGTTGTATTTCATGCATGTCATGCATATTGCATCGTGTTCGGGATAGGAGTTAGCCCTGGTACGGGAAACGAGGTGCATTTCGTACTCCGAGTGACGGAATGTGTCTCAATTCCCTAGTCACCGACACTTCGGATCATCCATGATGGAGTTAGGTTCTTGTTGTGTTTATACGTGCATCCATTCTATATTGAGTTGTGCAATTCGACTCCTCGGCCATCATGCCTCGGTATGCGTGATTGGTGGCACGAGGATCGAGGCATGCATATATTTGTGAAAATACATTGCTATGCCCTTTTCCTGCTCTCTGTTGAAGCAAAATGAAGAATCAGCAACTTTTCGGAGCTTGGCGCGTTTTCCAAGGATAACTGCTAAACAGAGGCTAATTGGGGCATCCCGGTGGATTTCCGCGCAAGGCAGCCCAAATGTGCATCATTCATCAGGAGCAAGGCAGTCCCTATTTTTTTACAGTTTTCTTAGTTAATTTGTTAATTAATTAGGAATTTGTATATTATTTGGACTGTAATATTTGGACTGTAATATTCTTTCATTCGGGACTGTATATTTATTCGGACCCTCTGCACGAGGGCATAATTGTAATAAGCGTGTGTGTGTGTGTTGTATGTCTTCCAACCCCACGTCTTTCTCCCTTTTATTTACCTGCTTATGATGGTTAGATTAGGGCATGTTTAAATTAGCATACAGTATGACAGCATGTTTGCATCATTCATCTGTATTGCATGCATTGGGCTGAGCGCATCATACTAACTGCATTGTACTTTCAATTCTAAATTGAATACATGTTAGCTGTAGCATTCCATACGCCATCTTAGAATAGCCGAGCCTGCTATAGTTGCATCTTTGCATGTG